CCCCCCCCGACAAAACCCGAGCCGCCCCTTCGAAAGTTTCAAACGTTCCTGAGAGTCTCTTCCTCGCCGACAGCCATAGGCCTTTCACTGAGGAGTTGAGGGGGTGGGGGGGGGGGGGGGGGTGGTGGGGGGTGGAAGTGGGGAGGGGAGGAAGTAAGGTCGCTAGCACTGCTCCTCTGTGTGACGGGGGGTGGGGTTCCTCGTCTCATCTTTTGTGTTTTGTAAGAAAATAGAGTGAAATAAATGAGAAGGATTGAGGTGTCAAGCTGGCTTCCACGTGCTTCCCCACCCCAGCCTCTCTCAACCCCAAGAGCGGGGAAGGGAGCATGGACTCACATCCTGCCCCAGTTCCTGCCAGAATTTAAATCCGGCCCATTGTCTGTTCCATCTCTGTCGCGTTGACCGGGGTGACCGTAACAAACTAACGGGGAGGATCGACGAAGGGGAAATAGTAGATGTAATGTATTTGGGATTTTCAGGAGGTGTTTGAAAAGGTGTCACACTTCAGGCCACTTAATCAGAGCCCACGGTATATGCGGAGCAAGGAGAGAGAATTGGCTAGCTAATAGAAAACAGAGAGTTGGGATAACGGGAGCATTTTCATTATTCACAGTATTGAATAACGGCTCGGATGAGGAAAGTGAATGTGCGACAATCAAGTTTGACACGAAAGTAGGTGGGAAACAAGTGGGTGCGGGTGACCTAAAGTGTCTAAAGAGGGTTAGAGATGGCTCAAATAGGCTGATACAAGGTAGAACATAGAACATTATACAGCACTGGAACAGACCACGTCTACCCAACCATGATGCCATTCTAATATAACCCTGGTCTACCTGCACATGGTCCGTGTCCCTCTATTCCCAGACTGTTCGCCTGTCTGCCTCTGAAATGTTGCTGCCATGCCTGCATCTACTACTTCCCCTGGCAGCACGTCCCAGGCACCTGCCACCCTCTGTGTAAAATAACAACTCCCTTAAACCTTCCCCCACTCACCTTAAAACTATTCCCACCACCCCCACCCCCCCCCATGTATTTGACAGTCCCACCCTGGGGAAAAAGGCTCTGACTAATCCTTGCCCTGTCATAATTTTATAAACTTTTATCAGTTTACACCCATACCCCGCCACTTCCTCAGCCTCCAACGTTCCAGAGAAAACAATCCAGGTTTGTCCTGATGGCTCATACCCTCTACTCCAGGCAACATGCTGATAAGGAGGGTCTGAAGAAGGGTCATTTTCTGAAGAAGGGTCTAGGCCCGAAACGTCAGCCTTCCTGCTCCTCTGATGCTGCTTGGCCTGCTGTGTTCATCCAGCTCTACACCTTGTTATCTGACATACTGATAAACCTCTTCTGCACCTTCTCCAAACCCTCTACATCCTTCCCTATAGTGTGGGGACCAGAACTGTGCACAGTACTCCAAATGTGGCCTCACTAAAGTCTTATACAGCAATAACATGACTTGCCAACTTTTATACTCAGTGCCCTGACTGATGACGGT